AATATCGATATATTTTTGTTATGCATAAAGTACTGTATATTGATGCATATTACTTAAAATTCAAGATTACAAGTAACTAGTTGTATGCCCGCGCAATGCGGCGGTATGTCAAATTTTTCAATAAATCTACAACTAAAAAAAGTGCAATCTTTCATTAAAAGTACAAAATTTATATTTAAACATTCGATCTTTCAGGAGAACCCTTAGAAATATTTAAACCTCGATTCCTTATAATTGAATACACACACGATCTAACAAGATGTAATCAAATACTATGTAACAAATAAGAAATAAAAGGTGAACTTTATTGTACACAAGCATGAAAATCAATTATGGTGTCCAAATAATTATAATGACGGAAGAAACATATATCTAATTAATACATTTGGAAAAAAAAAATTATCTTATACAAACCAAAATAGAAACCAATATCCTAATCAATCGAAATGACAAAAAATCAAACCCCACCGCCTCTAGATCAAATGCGTAATAGTTCAATCTCCACTTTAACAGTCACCGTGAAAGCATCTATACCAACATCTGCATCCAAGGAGTCTACAAATAAACGTTCAAAGTAGATGGAGTCGGTGAGCTGAGTATTCTCTTATATACACAATAAGCAAGTTTACAAGTTGCATTTACACAAGCAGTAGCAGTTTTCTGAATCTGACTTCGCTCGTTCCTTCATTGTACTGCTAAACACACAAGAGAACAAAAACAGAAATGTTGGAACAACTTGAATATTACATTATATAGGTATGGTGCTCATTTTGTATGTTACTATAACAACTAACCCAAGTACACAAGGCACACCAATACCTTCATGTGATCCCTTCTGGTTCTTATTGGATTTGACTCAAGGCCCATCTTCTTGGGCTGTAGAATTAAACAATTTAGAACTACATGTCAGAAAATCGCAAACATACATAATACATAGACCATGTGATCAACAAAACCCAAAAGAACAAAAAAATAGATTTATTGTATTACCACAAACATTGATATATGAGTTGATGATCCAATTGCTACTCCAAGTGTGATGTCCTATAAGTAAAAACATTAGACGATCAATCAACTAATCTCATACCTATTTGCTTATGAATGGATTTAGCCTATACACTTAAAAGCTTGTCTTTCATGGCAAACATTATGGCACTGGCATGCTCAGCAGCATTACCAACAATAGGAAGTAGGATTACACTAATAAAAGACACCGGCATATTCCATGAGTCTGATGCTCTGCCAAAATACTCAAATGGGAAGGGGGTTCGGAATCTTGAAGTTTTGTGTTTTCATAATTGAACCTATCAAAGCATCCATCTGGCTGCTGATCACAGCTTTGATGTGATAACCCTCTGCTGATCACCATGTTTATCAACAGAGATTATGTTTAGATGAAGTCAGATTTTCTTGAACGTGGTTTACAAAACAAAACCAACTGAGCCAAGTAAATCCCACACAAAGTAGGGTCTGGAAAGGTAGAATCTAAGCAGAAATCTCCTCATTTGTTCTGCACCAGATCATAACAATGTCTAAATCACCATGTTTATCAACAGAGATTATGTTTAGATGAAGTTAGATTTTCTTGAACTTGGTTTACAAAACAAAACCAACTGAGCCAAGTAAATCCCACACAAAGTAGGGTCTGGAAAGGTAGAATCTAAGCAGAACTTAATGAACAATTCAAACAGAAGATTGAGATTTCAGACAATGTTACCTCATGATTAATTTCGAATAACCACCACATCCAGCTGATGTAAGGTTCTCAATGGTGACTTCTGGTAGTTTTTCAGGCTTTCTTGATAATCAATGGCCACCCATCAGATTGAAGTTTTAAGTACAATCGTATCAAGAAAACATGTTTCATATGCTTTACCTCTCTGACACAATCATTGCAACCATACCGATTATACATGCGCCATAGAACATAAAAAAAACATAGGTTCATTCATGTAGTCCATTTCATTTGTGACTCCAATTGTTATGGAATGAAGATAAAGATAGAGGATTACCCGTACAACAATGGGTTAGTACGGAGAATGTCGTCAGGAAGGAAGTCATCGGTGTCCATTAACACCACATCACGACCACCATCATCTGGTGAGACGCCATTGAAGTAATTCTCGACCAATGACACCGAAATGTTCAACTCTCTCATGTAATGACATTCTTTTATGTACTTAACAGCAACATCTTTACAAAATTCAGGTAAAAAATAATATCCTTCAAAGCTATTAATCTCCGAATGGAAAGCAGCCATTCTGCAATGATCATACTAATTATGATCAGATTTGAACGATTCAAGAACTCCAGCTTCCCTGCTTTGACATGATTGTAACATTACGGTCAATGCAATTAACAAAGTCATCAATAAGATCCCAACTATTACAAGTGAGCCAATGAAGATAGTTGCAGCACAAGAAAACATATAGATCACAGATTCCATTCTAAATTGGCTTCACATATCTGCATCAACACAAGAAGAACAAGATTCAATATTCAATACAATCGTCCTTCGTTACCCAAAATCCTCAGAAATCAAATAAATGAAAATAAACGAAAATATTATAAACATCTTACCAGGAGAAAGCCAACGATTGAGAAAATGGTAAGATTGGTGTTCGATTTACACCAAACCGTTGTATTGCTTCAAGCCCTCAAACCCAAAACAAAGGGGAAAAAATTAAACCCTAAAACCCAAAGCAACCTTGAATAAAATCAAGAAGCAATTCCCAACATTTAAGAATCCCAACATATAAGTCGCCTGAGGTAGAGAGAACCGGATAGAGAGCATTTTATAGACAGAGAACGCTTCTCGATAGTTGATCGGAGGTTACGCCGAGCCGGAGCAGTGTTATCGGTATAGAAAGTGGAGAGTGTATTGAGAGAAGCCAACAGATCTGGATTATCGATGCGAGTTTCCAGAACTTTCTTCAGCTTCCTTGACAGCCCCGGCGCCAACGCCGTCGTCGTCCCCATTTCTCTCCGGTTGGTCTACCTTCAATTACGATCTTTCTCCTTCGTTTGTAGCTCTTCATATGGAATCGGATGGAGAAATCGACAAAAGTGGTATTGAACCAGAAGCCATCTTGGAGACTGAATCGTCGGAAGTGAGCGTGAAGTTGCGTTGGAAAGGGAAGTGAGCGTGAGGGTGCGTTGGAAAGGGAAGTGAGCGTGGAGCCTCTTTTGAAAGAGAGAGAGAGAGTCGGGTTATCAAAGTATGCTTTATAAAGTTGTACTAAATGCATTAGAGTTTGTACATTTTTAAGACTTTAAGACTCAATGCATAAAAGGATAGTACCTTATGCATCAAAACTTGTTTTTAAGACTTTTACCAAATTTCATTTATAAAGTAGTATAGATTATGCATAAGTACAACTTATTAAAGCTCGATGTTTGAATTCGTATAAATAACTGCGGATAAACATAATCAAATAGAGAATGAACATCTCATTTTAAAATATAAAAAATCTAAAATATAATTAGAATAATTATCGAGTTACAACAAAATAAATAATTATTATCCTTATAAAAAA